CTGCTGAAATCCAGGGTATGGTGCCTTGTTGGGGACACGTGTCAGTGGTGGGAGGCAAGCAACAGTTGTGTTCAGCCCTGGGCCACTAAAACCACTCACCCTGCTATTGCCTCTACCTCCACACCAAGATCTGGCCTGCAAGGAGCCTTGTGGCCCTCATCTAGCCCAGGGAGTTGGATGAGCTTGACACTACTGATCTAGACCATAGCATCATTTAGCCCATTCACCATCCAAAACTCTGCACATGTGGTTCAAATCTAAAGGGAAGGGAGGCCTGCTGGAGCAGCAGCATTCTCGATTCACCAATCTGCAACCTCTCACTGGGCATCTTCATCTCCCCTCTGCCTCCCTGGTGGCTTTTATTATCTCAGTTAATATTTGACCAGTCTTGCTTTCTTGATGAAGTCTGCATTGCAGCCGCCTGCTCTGATTATTCTCAGGGCCCTGCCATGGGAAAGGGGAGCTCTGGCTGAGGTAGGGAAAAGCTAGAGAATCCCAGCTTCTTCTGTAGACAGTGCTAGAAATGTGATTGATTGATTCATTCACGTCAGCTGCAAAATAAAGAACCCCTCTGCTCCCAGACATCTGCTCTTGGGCAGACCCCAGAGTCTGTTCACTCAGGAATAAATAGAGTCCAAAGTGCAAGAAGACGGGTTTGTTTCAAAGCAAATAGCCATATATATATATAGGTTTAATTGGCACTTGCTTAATATATTGCTGCCTTTGTGCCTTAACTTTACCACTCTTGCTGTGGGAGGGAGGTGGCGGTTTTATTAGGAAACTGGCTGCAGTATTCTTGGGTTTCAAACTAAGCCATACTCTGCAAAATATTCAGAAAAGGCAGCTTCTAGAAGAGGGGCTTCTCTCTGTGTTTCAGTAAATGGTGCTTCATGAAAAAGCAAGTGTCCTTCTGTGTTTGTGAAGAATGAGTGCCCTAACTTGAAGCAAATGGGGATGTCTGTACTGTTAAGAGGCACCATATCACACTGCAATGTCACATTAAGGCCCTAAATATTTTTGGGTGGGGAACAGTATTAGCTGTAGGGGCATCAGCCAAGATTGGTGCTGTCTTATACTAGGCATTGCCTATGCGCATGGCAAAAAGGCAGGAAGGGTGTTTATCAGGCCTGTGCGAATAGAGATGTATTTTATTTTGGATTCAGCTGATTCGGAGGACAGTGATTCAATTCAGAGATTTGGATCACTGTCCTGAATCAATTCAGCCGAATTGGCTTCGGAAGATTCAGCGCTGATTTGGAGAGAATCGGTGATTCAGATTGGCCGGGGAGAGGCAGGCACAGCTGGGTGTCTGCAGGGTCTCCCACGGCTCCTCTGGCTGTGCCAGCCTCTCCCTGGGCAGGGGGAGCCATGGGAGAAGCCCTATGGCTGTCCTGACTGGCCCCATCCCCCCCTGGCCCCAGCCTAGTCTGGGCAAGGGATGGGGGCTTCTCCCGCAGCTCCTCCAGCTGTGCCTGCCTCTGCCTCGGCAGGGAGAGCCACGGGGGCTATGCCCTGCTGCTGCTTGCTAAGCCAGCGGGGAGGGCAGGGGGGGTGGGTGAGATGCAGGCCTGACTCACTCCAGGTGGCAGCAGGGCATAGCCCCGGTCCCAGCGCTGCTACGCCTGCGACAGTGCTGGGAGTGGAAGTGGGTGAGGATGCGGGTGCAGCAGTGCTGGGAGCAGGGGTTTGGCCCTGCTGCCGCTTGCCCCCTTCCTCCTGGAGCAAGCCCAGCCTTCATCCTGCCTGCCCTGGCTGGGCAAGCAGCAGCAGGACAGAGACCACACTCCCAGCACTGCCATGCCCACATCCCGTCCCTCCTACCCCCTCCCTGTGTAAGATGCCCACCTCCCACCCCACCTGGGTAGCTTGCCCCAGCCGCAATCCCTCCCTCCCCTACACGCCTTCCCTCCCCCTTCCCCTAACCCCAACAGACTTACCAGCTGGAGAAAGCTGTGTTAGCTGCCTGTTTAGTCTATGGCCGAATCACCGAAGTGGCCAAAGCTTTTCTGAATCAATTCAGATGCTTTGAATCAATCTGGAGCTTTCAATTAGTCTCCCAATTCTATTCAGATTTGGAGATTCAGTCCCCGAATCGGGCCAAATCTCCTCTGAATCAAATCATCTACCGAAGCTTCCCACAGTGTTTATCTCTGCTTTGTAAATGGGAAATTGAGGGTCAGAGAGGAAAGCGGATACACCCACAACTGCAAAGGGGAACTGAATGTAGGTCCCCAGAGCCTCAGCCTTATTCCGGAGGCACAAGATCAGCCTCCCTAACTGTTCTCATCCCCTTAAATTGCCCCTGCAATTTCATGTACAGAAGGGTTTGTTGTTTTCCATTCCTCTTAGCAGGGATAGTGCATGTTCTGAAATAGCTGCCCTTTCCCTCCCTAAGAGGTGGCTGCATTTCACTAGCCCACTACAATGTAATCCTAGTGACAGTCTGTAAATAACTTTGGGATGCTTTGAATTGAAAGTTATGGCTGAAATATAAAATACCTCCCTTGAGCTAAGAGTGAATAATGAAATCATGAATGGCCTAGAGACAATAAATAGGGGTTTACTATTTACCATCTCACAGTACTAGAACTAGGGGACATGCAATGAAATCAGTAGGTAGTGGGTTTAAAAAATGAAGCTCTTTTTTATAGCTTCTAGAACTCATGGCCACAGTTTGTTGTGGTAGCTGGTAGTTTCTAATCGGCTTCAAAAGGAGGTTGGAAAAAGTCATGCAGGACAGGTTCATCGGTGGATATTAAAGTTGATATTTAGGGCTGCACCCTCCATAGTAGGACTTTCTAGGCCTCTGAATGCCAGAAGCTATTGGGTGAGAGCAGAAGAGGACAATTTGGTCTGGAGAGGCCCTGCATGATTCTTCCCCTTGGCAGCCTCTTTGTGCCACTGTGAGACACAGAATGGGCCTGTGGACGGATCCAGTCCGGCATCTCTTACGCTCTTATTTGTTTGGCTGCTTGTCTTCAAAGATTCTGATTACTGATGGTTTTTGTCACAGATCAGTTCTCATATCTGTTTCTCCAAAGGTGTTCCTGACTGGGAAGCCCTGTCGAAATTTCCAAGTGTTCGTGGCCTATACCATGCTGCAGATGGTGAGAGACCACATCCTCCGGGAAGCTATGAGCGGAGATGACATTTTAATGGTGAGCCAGTAAGGAGACTGACAGCTAATGCAGGCTCCCAGAACCATAAGGAAATAAGGGCATGAGAAAGAACATAAAATACATCACCCTTCTAGGAAGGAAGTCCAGCCCTTGCCAATCCCCATGGAGGAGTGTTGCTGTCAGGCAACTGTTTGGTTGCCTACATGCGATGAGTTGGTGAAACTGGGACCCAGGTCAGAGTGGACTGTTGTCAATACCACCAAAAACATCTCATGCTTGATATGGATTGATCCCTCATTAACAATTTCAGCAGAGAGGTCATAAAATGAGTCTCATTAGAAGGACACTCATTCCTGGAGATGTTTGTTCCACCTCTGTGATGAGGCAGGTTGGTAGGGAATGATGGATGAAGCACATACTTTCACTGCAGAAACTCTATCTAGCTTGCACTCCAGTCTCCAGAAGCCATGGTAGATTTGCATATTATAGACTAACTAAATCAGAAATATATAGCAAAAACTTTCAAGAGCCCAAACTCACTTCATCATAGGTGAGCTCAAAATGTTTGAGAGATACAGGCCCAAGCCTGAGCAAAGGATCCTAACTGCCTTCTGACCTTTCAAGAAGTTCAAATCAAGTTGTAGATCCAAAGGTGAGAGCTTGGTCCTGTATTTACAAGGGGCCATGGGTGAATCTCTGGATCCAGACACCCCATCCTGCAGGAACTTTAGTATCAGAGCTTTCTGCTGACCTAACTCCTATGACTCAGTCCCATTTCTAATTGTATAGCCCTGATCTCAGAGAATGGAAGAGAGAGGGAACATAAAAGTAGGAATTAAGACTGCCAATCTCTGGTGTTTTACCAATTCAGCACAGTCTATATGGAAAGTTACCTGACACTTTGCATTGTAAAACCCTCTTTTCCATTGCTATATTTTAATCATTCAGGTTGAGATTTACCATGGTTTATGTTCCATGACTTCAGCAAAAACAATTCAGACATTTCTTAGAGGAAGAATAGCAAAGATACATTGTTATACCCATATTAAAAAATAATCTCTTTACCATTTTGTTCAAGAAGCCCCATGATTTGAAAGAAGGGATTGAGAACATTCGCTTAATGTGGCAAGCATTCTTCTGAAAACATAGTAGGCAACCACATCATCAAAAACTGTATCTCAATGTCTGTAGTAAGAGGGGTTAATTTAAGCGTGTGCAGGTAACTTTAATTATAGTAATTTTCAGTATTCAAGTACTTGACTTTGCAACCTTAATATTCCTTTATGCACATAAAAACAGTGTTAATCTTGAATATATTCCCCAAAGGAAGGAGGCGAGAAATAACGGCTGTCTACAAATATGTAAAAGCCAATAAGGAGATAGAAGTGGCCAGGATGGACATAGCTAACTTGCTGGTAATCAGATGAAAGCAAGAAAAGGAAGTTGTCAGGGTGGCTTGGCTAGCAATCCTGTTCCCCACAGGGAGTAGAAGGGCTTTCAGCCATATGGCTACTACACACTAGGAGGGAGATATGGCAGACATTGTCATAGAGAGCTGACTGGAGACAGAGACAAGGTGTGGTGTAATAGATTCAGCCTCTGGGGGTGTTTCTGTACTGGGGGGTGGACAACTTAGTCGTGTTGCAGGTAAAAAAAATCCCATCCACTCATTCCAGCTCCACACACATGAACTCTGGAAATGAAGTGGGGAGGACACCATGGGGGTGCCCCAAGGCACTGCTATGAGCATGTTCCCAGGGCATCATTAATGCCCCATTTCTGGAGATGTTGCACATGGTGTGGGAGTGGGTAGGCTGGATCTATTTCCTCCGTGGCATAATAGAGCACCCTGCTGCTGTGTCCTAGACATAACCTGTGAGCCCCTAACACAACCCTTTCATTGCTTCCAGATGATTTGTTTCCCATCTCTGCTGCTGTAGGTGGCATCTATAACATTATAGCTGGTCTAAAAATATGGGATGGTTCAACTCAGATAAGCCCCCACCAGCATGGACGGTTACTGCATCTCATACAAACAGTCCTGTACTCACTAGGTCTCCAGGTCTCCCTACTGACTTGCACATCCCGCTGAATAATTTTGTTGCTGTTGCAGCACCACCAACATGGGCCCATTATGCTAGATGCTATATAAACACACATGGACATCCAGGTGTCAAAAATCCCATGCAAAAAAAAAAAGTGGAGCGGCATGTGCTGGGGAAGCATATGTCGCTCAAAACTGAGGCCTGGCCTGCTGGAGCCACGCTCCAGTTGCCAGCCAGGCTCTGAGTGGCAGGATTGCTGCTGCTGCAGCCCTGAGAGACTCCAGGACCCCAGGTAAGGTTGCTGGGGCCAGCCCAGTGCTGGCCTCAGCCTCCCCTAACCCACCTGGAGTAACCTGCCATGTGCCAGAGGGCATGTAGCACAGGCGTTCCCCAAGGACAACTAGTGGCAGCACAAGGTGTGCCACCTCTAGTTGTTTCCAGGGAACCAAACACCCAAGCATGTCTGGACATGGCATATGTGTCCAGGAGGGGATAACTGCAGTGAGGTGAAAGTCACCTCCAGGTCACACAGCTGTCAGTGGCAGATCTAAGCTAGGCTTTCTGAATCTTAGGCTGAATTTTAGTCCCATGGTAGTTTAGCCATGGGACCCCACCACATAGCCTACAAATATTCTGTAGAAGACAAAGCAGAGGAGATGGATTTGTAAATGTTTTAGGAGGAGCACTTCTCCTCAGGTTCCTGGATCTCTACACCTAACCCATGGTCAGAATTAGGACATGAGAAGAGAATGCATGGGAAACTCAAGGATAAAAACACAGAAATAAAAGTGAAGCAAAATTTTAAAAATGGTTGGGGTTCCTGTTGGAGCTAGAGTGAAGATTCAGGGCGCCTTTTGGAGACCTAGGCTGCTTGTACATGCCACGGGGATTTAATCTGGTTTAGTTTGCCCTAAATTAAAATGGTGGGTTTTTAAAAACCCACCATTTCCATTTTGGGAGAATTAAACCAAACTAAACCCCCGTGGTGTGTACATGAGGGTTGGGGCCCAATTCTTACTTGCCTCTCTGGCGGCAGCAGGGGGTGAGCTGCCAGTGGGCCAAGCAGTCCCTGAGCTGTGCGGGGCCCTGGTGCTTCCCTCCGCAGCTGGGGGCGGAGTGGCGGGGGATGCGACACGACACTGCTTTCCTCCATGGTGGCACCTCCCAGGCGGCACCTGCCCACTGGCACCCGGCCTAAGTGGTCCCAGGCTGCACCGCAGCCACAGAGCTGCACGGGCTGCCGCCACATCGCACAGCAGTGAGAGAAGGTGGTGGGCATGGTGCATGGGGTGCTAGAAGCCAGCCAAGCCCCGAGCACATCAGTTTCCAGTGCCCCCTGCACTGTTGCACTTTGTTAGGTAGCAAAATAAAACACCTCAGAGGTGTTTTATCTTGCTATGTTACAAAGTAATTTAAAGCCAAATACACCGCCGAATGTGCAAACAGCAATGCCATTAAAGCAGAATACGCAGCCGAGAGTGCAAACAGCAACACCATTAAAGCAGAATACACCACCGAGCATGTAAACAGCAGTGCTATTTAAAGCAGAATAAGCCACCAAATGTGCAAACAGCAACACCATTTAAGCCACTTTAAAGGCCAATTTTGTGGCATGTACAAGGGCCTAATGTCAGCCATAGTAGCATGAGGTGTTTCACCCCATGGTTGAACTGTCCAGCCAGCCCATGACCCCCAGTATCAATGATGTTTCTTCTCTCCTTTCTTCCTAAAGGTCTGTAATAGCCTCATAGACCTGGATGCAGATGAACTGATCTCTGAAGCTTGCTCCATGTACGAGCATCTCATGAAATATGAAGACAAGGTGATGAGCAGAGACCTTTCTTTGCGGCCGTGGGCGGGGTGGCTGTATAGGAGCAATGCCAGAGGAACATTGAATTTTCTCATTAATGCCTTGGGTATCTCATGTGCTTTGCAGATCCCAGGAGAGCTGAAGGAGTTCTTCACCTAGAAAGCCAAACAGGAGCAAGTGGAGGATGGCAGGGCTAGCAATAAACAGGCACATGTGACTTGCATTGATTTTATGGCATAGAACCTGGAAGAGGGGCCAGATCCTAGCCAAAGCCAAGGCCCCCTAGTAGGGTAGCCACTGACACATCCCCAGAATACAGGACATCCCCTTGGTGAGGGGTGGGCCCTGTCGGCCAATCAGCAGTGAGGGGTGGGGCCAACAGTCCCCTTGGTCAATCAGCAGCAAGGGGCAGGGCCACCACAAACAAGCCACCTTCCTCCCCTCCCTCCCTCCCTGGCTGGGAACCTGCTTCTCTGGCTGTGACCAGCCAAGCTCTAGGCACAGTCAGTAGAATCATGAGGACAAGTGATTGACATGCATTTCCACCAGTGAACTGAAAAACAGGACTTTTTGCAATCCAGTCCTCATTGAAAAATGGACAAAGGACAAAGAGCTTAAAAACAGGTCTAATGGACCCCCTAGACAACACAGTGTCGATTCACACTGCTTCCAGCACTCCCCTCCCTACCGATCCACCCAGCAGAGCAGGGATAGAGCCCAGATGTCCTGGCTCCTAGCCACACCCCTGCTGAGTGTCTAAGTGTAATGTGTAACTTCACCCTTAGGCAGGCCTACACAACAGGATTTGGCCCTGTAGTTTACTGTCTTTCTCAGGGGCTGATCCAAAATCAACAGGATTCTTTTCATTGAGGAGAACTTTTCAGATGTGCTGATCGTGTGCCTATATACATGGCCTGGGGTGGCGGGAGGGTATGGGGACATTTTAATTATAGCAGTTCGGGGGGGCGCTCTAATTGAAATGAAGCATGTTGTGCGTTTAAAATTTAAATGCAGCTTATTTCAAATTAAAACATAGCATCTTGCGTCCTGCAGCATCTCATGTATCCAGTGTCCTGCATTTCAAAATGGCAGTGGGGTGTTTTAACTACAGCTTATTCAACAAGCTTTAGTTCAAGCACCCCTGCTGCCATTCTGAAATACAGGATGCTGAATATACAAGATGCTGCAGCCATGCTGATGCGTTTTAATTAAAAGGCTCCAGCAGACTTGATTAATCTTGTCTGCTCTAACATGTTCTAATTAGGATGCATTGGAGCACATCTATCGGCACCCAGAGTGTCCAAGGTAGAGGACAGCTCAAAGCAACATGGATGATTCACAGCAGTGGCCCCAAGGGTTCTTAGTAGGCCATGGCCACTGGGTGGTAGAGGTTATTTTATATCTTGAAAAGGTCCCTTGAAATAGTTTCCCAGTCCCAGCAACAACTTGCCTTGTATGCTGTTTGTTCAGGCAGGAGTGATCTTTCCTTTGCTTGTGGGGGCTAGGGTGGGGAGGGAGGGAGGTGGTCTTTGCTGCAGTCCTCCACCATTGGCATTTACTTTCCAGCAGGACCCAGCAGTTTCATGATGTGCTCAGTCATCTCCAGCATGGACATGAGATCCTAACGAAAGCATGTGCTATGCCACCGCGGCACATTCAGACTTTCAATGCTCCAATATTCTCACTCAGCCACCAGCGCTCCTCACTGCTCCTGGACCGGAATCACATGTAGCCGGCCAGCCACCCATGGGCCCTTCTTGCTGCATCTGTGCTTAACTCTAACAGTACTTCCAGTGGCAGTACTTGAGTCCAGATGTGCTGGCATGTTCATTACTGCACCTCAGGGCTGCCTGGGGCTAGTTTCTCCATTTTGTGCCTTTGCCAATCTTAACAGCCAGTGTCAGGTCCAAAGCAGGTGCTGTGTTCCTCCAGCTTTCCCTCCCCCAGCCCTGCTAATACACCTCACACATGACCTGCTCTGCAATGCCCTCTTCTACATCTTGATCCTGTGGCTCAGTGTGGACACCGGAAAAGACCCTAGTGACATCAGTGCGCTTTGGGTCAGGTCTTTAGTCCGGTTCTTAGGCCCTCAGATCTTTTTATGTGCTCAGGACTGACCAGAGCTCACTTGGCTTAGTTCATTTAAGCTTGAACAAGTCCTCTTCTCCCACAGGTAAGTCTTCTCCTGAGGGTGCTTCTACTGTGGGCTGGGGACATAGACATGTTTCCTTTCTGCTCAGGTTACATTAACACCGAGGCTTCCACAAGTCAACAGGATCACTTGCATTCATCTGGGGAAGTGGGAGTAGGAAGGAAAGAGGTGAACTTCCCTCCATAGCTTCCTGTCTCACCAGCCTGGCTGTCTGGCCCCCACTCCTCCCTTTGCTTTGTTGCTTCCCCTGTAGTAGGCAGAGCAGATGGCAAATTCTCGCAGCGGCTTGCTACTTAAGAGCAGAATAAACAAGCACGGGAAAGAAAATTGTAACTAAGATGAAGCGAGGCTGCCCACCGAACTGTGACGTGTTCAAAATGACCTTGACAGACGCTGGGGAATCAGCGGGTGATGCTCATCAAAAGTGACAGGGTCAGAGCAGGCAAAGCCGAGGAGATGTTCAAGTTCCTTAGTGCACCTCAGGATGCTGGCTACCCAGCTGAGCCACCGCGCAACCACTCGATTCTTCAGAGCAGACCTGGCCGCCTCTCCCTGGCCTGCATCTGGCACGGGGTGGGAGACCCTGGACTTCCACAAGTAGGGGTGCGATCTGCTTCCCAAGGACCAGTTCTGCTGGCCCAACTCCTTTCTCTCTCTCTCACCTACAGAATTGAATTGACACCAAACCCAGAGGACTCCAGGTAAAGGAACCAGTACTCTCAGATGTGTAACTCTGACTGCTGCGGGCTCTCCATGAGTTGGCACCCTCATTGCTTCTCCTGAGTCTTTTTTCACCCTAAAATTGTCCTTGAAGATTTCTCCCTTGCCTTCCTTCTCACCTCAAGTTTGCATTTGCTCCAGTCTAGTCTGGGATGCCCCTTGCCAAAGGCATGCCGCATTGAAAACGCACGAGTCTCCATGGCTGTAGCTGAAGACCTGTGAGGGTAGGGGCAGCAGCATTCTCAGAAACCTCAGTATACTGGGCTACCGGGAGGGGGTGGGGGGCAGGGGGTAGGGACAAATCAAGTCAATGCCTCTGCTTGGATGAGTCTTGTATCATCTCCCATGTCAGATACCCATATTCTCTTAGAATCACAGAAAATGAGGGTTGTAAGAGACCTTAGGAGGTCACATCTAGTCCAACCCACTGCTCAAAGTAGGATCACCCCCAACTAGATCATCCCAGCCAGGGCTTTTTCAAGCCAGGCCTTAAAAACCTCCAAGGATGCAGATTCTATCACCTCTATAGGTGACTTGTTCCAGTGCCTCCCCACCCTCCTAGTGAGAAACTTCCTAATATCCAATCTAAACCTCCCTTGCTGCAACTTGTGCCCATTGTTCCTTGTTCTGTCACCTGTCACCACTGAGAACAGTCCATCTCCATCCTCTTTGGACCCCTACTTTAGGTAACTGAAGGCTGCCATTAAATCCATCATCCTTCCTCTGTTCTTTCTTCCAGCTTCTGCAGATTCTTTCCAGCTCTGGGCTTTTTCATTTGGGTTTTTCCTCTTTCCGACACCCTCCCGTCCAGAAGTGTTTCCAGCTAAGTGGCAAGTCCTGTAAGTCTTTGAGCATCTCCTGCCCAGATGCTCACCAGGTAGTCAGAAGAGGTGACATAGTTTAGCATCCACTCTCAGATGACAATCCATTTGGCGATGAACTGGAGGGAAGAGGAAATGGGTGAGGTGTGGTGCTGCCTGGGATGGCACTGACTAGCATTGGCTCCATTAGAGTTGGCTGGGAAATAGTTTTCTTGCTCCATGAGAAATGTTGAGACTTTCAGAAATCTTCCTGTTCAGAATAGGGATGGGCTTGAGGCTTTTCAAAGTTCCTTGAACATAGACAAAGAGCCCTGCACTCCAGACTAGCAGGCCACCCAACTGCTAGGGTACTCAGGAGGGGCACCTAGATTGAAGCATGTCTCTCTTGAAATAAAGATTTATTCCTATGAAGTGGAATAGCTCTTACCAGGAGAGAGACTCTGTAGCCCTGCAGTTCAGGCATTCACTGAACAGAGGAAGGACTTGAACCTGGGCTTCCCAGGGGAGAAACCTAGCCCCTGAGCTTGGCTAGGCAGGCAGTCGAAGTTTACCTTTTCTCTGAGTTTTTTATCCAGAACTTCCATCCTCAAGCTGAGGAATTTTCCAAGGAAACTAATGTCAAAACTGGTACCTTTCCAAAGAGCATGTTTCATTTCAACAAATCACCCTTTTTAAACAAAAAACAAACAAACAAAAAAAATCATCAGAGAATGGTAAGCTCTTAGACCCTGGCTGGAAGGCATAGCTGATGTTCATGGGGTCACACCAGTCACCAGATATGGGGTAAGGAATGCATTTTCCCCCATGTGAGACTGGTAAGAACCATGAGCTGTGTGGCCTTTCTCAGGAGCATGGGCTGTGGTCCTCCTTATGATCACCCTGACATATTAACCTAACACACTTGCCATTGTGGTCTTCCCTCCTTTTTGCCTCTGGCTCATTGCAAGATATGCACATTGGGTGCTTTGTGGCTGCAGTGAGAGGTCAGTACTGATGTACTTGCAGATCATTTGAATAAATGGCTGCTTCTGAAAAAGGGCCTGGACTCAATGACATGGGAGGCCCTCTCTTCTTTGTTCCTAAAATTCCCAACCAGCTCCAGTCTCTCTCTCTTCACTTCAAGGTCTCTGTTGCCACGGTACTTTCTATCTCTTTCTACTCAAAGATCAAGCATGCTGGGGGGAAACACCTAGCCCCCAGATAGGTGACTTGAATTTAAATCTTCTACCTCCTGAGAAGTCATGAGTAGCCACACACACTGCTCTGGTCCTTCCTTTTGTATCTTCCTTTGCACACTGCCAGCCTGTTGCCAGTGAAGGCCACCTCTCCAGCAGTTCATTGCTTCTCACTTTCTTTTCCTTGGCATCAAAGGCAGTTGTTCTACGAGTGCAGGCTGGCTACTATATCAAAGCAAAGCCTTATAGATCACTGGAAAACAGCAAGAAGCTCTTCAGGTGCTCTCCAAGTTTGCGGGGTTTTATCATTCAGCACCACCAACAGAACCCCCACGAGA